GATGATTCAGCTTGCAATTTGGTTAGGAATATCAGAATTTGGTGACTGTTTGATAAATTTATACTCCAATAAACATGTTTAATTAAAAAAAAATATTGGTTTTAATATATTTTTACTTGTACATTTGTAGATTCCATAAATCATTCAAAATAGACTGATTTGAACGTTAACTTTTTCTTTATGATTTTTCTTTACTTTCTCTTTTACAACACAATTAACTTAAAAATGGCAAAAAGATGCATGTATATATTGCCACTGCAAAGAGAAGCTGGGTGTGTTTTGTATCATAAATATCTATAATAATGGTGATCATTACACTTTTGCACTTAATGTTCAATAATTGTTTTTCAAGGATGGTATGGCAACATAAGGCGTTGTTTACTTGATATGATTGTAACCTTCAATAAATGTTTCACAAATTGCTATATGGTGTATTAAAATATCAGGTCGAAAAAAAATGGCAGTTTTAATGATTTACTAATTTAACTATAGAGGGCAGACCGGTAGGTTAGAGGTATAGCGGGGACTATTTATTGTAAATGTATTGTATCGCTGGCAAAGTTCACTTTCCATCAAAATTCCATTCATTTGACATTTATATAAAAACAATCTTTCTACAAAATAACATTTTAAATGCTGAAGGCTGCTTTAAATAAAAAAAAATATGTTTGGAAAAAAAAAATGATTTTTTTACCTACCATACCAAAACAGACAAATTAGGTGAATCAGTGTATTTATGTATGGTAACACCATATACACTTGCTTTAAAGTACAAATGATTTCTTTTTGGGTTGAACTAATAGAGTAGTTTTAAATATTCTAACATTAAACGCAATCTTGAACGGATAACTTACATGTATATATTGCCACTGCAAAGAGATGTCTGTGTGTGTTCTTTTTCATCAATATATATAATAATGGTGATCATTACACTTTTGCACTTAATGTTCAATATTTGTCTTTCAAGGATGGTTTGGCAACATAAGGCGTTGTTTACTTGATATGATTTTAACCTTCAATAAATCGTTAACAAATTGCTATATGGTGTATTAAAATATCATGTCGAAAAAAAGACAAGTGGTGTTTTAATGATGTAATAATTTAACTATAGCCGACAGACCGGTAGGTTAAAGGTATCGAGGGGATTCTTTATTGTATATGTATTGTATCTTATATAGCTTTCAAAAGAAACACATTATAGGATTTTGAGAAAGAATGGAAACTGGTCAAAAGTATTTTCAGGACACCTCAGATTAAGCTTACATGTATATATAAATAGCGTCCTATTAGCACTGAAAATCCATCTATGGTCATTGTAAGAAAAGTTGACCAAGTTTGTTAATATTAAAAACTTTTATTATACAGATGTTTCTTATATTCTTGTATATGTCATTGTATAAAGTTTATAATTATAAACTGTAAACTACTTTTGCTTTAAAATTATAAACAGATCCTGTTGGCCTAGCTAGTGGTTAAGGCGTCCGCCTTTGGGTCGGGAGGTAGAGGGTTCGAGCCCCACGGGGAGCGTTAATTGAAGGGTGAATGTTTTTCGTGGGGCTCGTTCCGAAATGGCCGCTCCGTTAGCCGCGAGGTAGTTAAAATTAATGGTTACCGATTTATATCCGTCTGCCGCATAGTGGTAGGAGTTGGGAGGTACATGGTATGAAAGCAAAAGGTCCCTCATAAGTCAGAAAAGGCTGGCCCTTTCAGTAGGGGTGATACTATTATAAACAAGACCTTTACCTTTTATAAATGATATGAATGTGCAAGGTTCTGATTGTGATGCCCTCGACCCTTTAGAACATGTGACGAGAACACTTACACAAAACAAAGCAAAGAGAACAACTACACTTGAATTCTGAATGATCATTAATATTAGAATAGCAAAAAATGTGAGCTTTAGCAAGTAAACAACACCATATGCTACCTGTATCTCATATAGAAACAAGCCAACAGATGACTGACTTTAAAGTGTTTATAATTTATTATAATCAAGGACATCTTATTTATTGGTGCTTAGTTTTGTACATCTGGCAAATTTCGTTAGTTTTTCTTTTTTTCAAATCAAATTGTATTGGATACAGAATATGAGAAAAAAGCACATATCATAAAGTGTATGTTTAAACGATATGTTTTGAAAATACAAATGTGAAATATGCTATTTTGTTTACCTTTGATGTGATATTAAGTTTATGATGTGGTGCAATTCCCAAGTCCGCATGTCGTCTCCAGTGTAGACTAATTAGTATAGTTTGAATCTTCAAATGAACATGCAATTATTTACTTAAAAAGTATTATTATTTTGTAAAAATACCCTACAAAATCTGACTTTATTCCAATAAACACAAATGAAATAAATAAACATGGTTACCTATTCTCGTACTTAACAAGTGTCCTTTTTAGCACTGAGGACGGACCGATAGACGGAAATGCAAATTAGATATCATCCTTCAAGTTTTTTTGCGGGAAATTATATTCCATTTTTTGTAAAGATCCTGTAACACAAGTTAATTTGGTTTTAAATCATAAATATGATGCTTAAATTAAGATTTATCAATTGGAAATTTCAAAAAGCATCATTAAAATTTTATAAAGATATTACCGAACTTAACATTTCATGTAAATATAGGGAGGTAATAAAAAGATTATTTTCAATAAAGTCTTGGTTAAAGATTTCAATAAGAAAGGAATGCATATATTTTAATGATTACATATAATATGTACAAATATTTGCACTACATATTTTACATATTCGTCGATGTTTGAAAATTGTTTTATAAACATAATAATACTTGTCCTTAAAGTGGGACTGTATGGCAACATAAGGCGTTGTTTACTTGATATGATTGTAACGTTCAATAAATCATGTAAATCGTCCACTAATTGCCATGCTTTACCATGGCAAAAAAGTTGCAAACTATGGAGTATTGAAACATAAGGTCGAAAAGCTTGACAAAAACTTTTTGGATGATTTACTAAATCCAATATAAAAGAGAGCAGGCCGGTTGGTTAGAGGTATAGAGGGGGTTCTTTATTGTTAATGTATTGTATCGCTGGCAAAGTTCACTTTCCATCAAAATTCCTTTGATTTGACATTTATATAAAACAATCTTTCTAAAAGTAACATATATTGCCTTTAAAATGCTGAAGGCTGCGTTAATTTAAAAACAAATATGTTGGATAAAAATAAGTTGTTTATCTACCATACCAAAACAGACAAAGGCTTAGTGATAAATGTCATCCCAATATAGCTGAATCAGTCTCAGTATCTTATTGTATATTTTTTGCTTGTTTAATAAGGTTTTACGTCACACCGACACAGTATAGGTCATTTGGCGACGTTCCAGCTTTACTGGTGGAGATGCCCCTCCATGCATTATTTCAGGCACGAATGTGTACCTGAGCTAATTGTTTATGCTAACACCGTATACACTTACTTTAAAGTGATTATGACTTCTTTTTTGAGTTGAACTAATAAAGAAATTTTAAATATTGTATATAAAATGCAACCTTGAATATATTTTTCGCAGAATCAGAAATGGCAAATTTAATGGATGAGTAAGGAATTTCTAAAATATAATGGGATTGTCAAAAATAGATAAATAAATAAATATATATATATATAAATAAATAGATAATGATAATTAATTAATTAATTAATTAATTAATTAATTGATTGGAAAATAAATAAATAAATAAATAACTAAATAAATAAATAAATTAATTAATTAATTAGTTAATAATATTGTACTTGTAGTTCAATATCTCGAAATAATCATGTGGGCTTTTTATAACTATTTCGCCTTCATTGATACACTGCTGTCAAAACACCTAAAATAATGTGTTAAATATTCCGCAGTTATTATTATTTGTGTAGACAGTAAATATGATTATATGGATATGCTTAATGGCTTTTAACGAAAAACAATCAGAATACAATCCAAAATGAGAATACATGCTAATAATGTCCAAAAAGGCAGAATTAACAATATTGCAGGCTCGGTTTGATTGAGCCGGTTCATGGACGGTACTAGAAAGTACACTTTAAGCTACCGTCCACGTCCCCTAGCACTGAATAAGCAGTTCTAATTCAAAATTTAAAATGAAATGGTAAAATTTTGAATTTTGGAACACCCGCAGATGTGCTCATACGGCTGTAATTACAAAACTTAAAATGTGACACGTTTGTGCTGTAGCCTGAGGGTGTGCCTGCATTTGTCAGTATGTTTAATTTTATTTCATATCAAGCCACCGTAGTTTAACGTTGTGTTCAGAAGTAAATATTATGTATACATTGCAACATATACAATGTAGTATTTTATTCCCAATGCCAAAAGTTGTCTTTGTTTAGTGGAATAAGTTGTGTAAATCAACAAAGAACGCCAAAAACAGCAAAATTGAAAATTTCGCTATGTGTCTTTGAGTAGCGTAGGTATTGGTGGTTAATAACATGTATGTTCATTAGGTTATGTAAATGTAAAACTATGTGCATTCGTGGCCAAGTGGTTCAGGCCGCTGACTTCAAACCACTTGTCCCCCCGCCTCACCGCTGTACGTGGGTTCTAATCATGCCATGGATTTTGGTTTCGTTCATGTAAGGACGCTTTCCCGCTAGCCGTAGGCGTGTTCGTGTCTGAATCCATTCATGGACAGGCATCTTGGCTTTTTTCACCACCATTAAAGATTGAAAGTCACCATATACCTTGCACCGTGTAAGTGCGACATTACAACCCAAAACAAAATATTTACTAAGCCTTGAAAAGCATTTCTTGGTATGCAAACAGAGGGAAAAACCCAGTGTTGTGACAATATACAGCAACCGTGATAATCATATACAATGATGCGCCTAATAAGGGCTTGTGTCAACCTGACATAACTGGATATTTTGAACAAATAAAATTTCCGCAATATTCTAAAATATGACAATTAATTAATCATCAATTTATTCATACGAGCTATCTAATGAAATAATTAAACTCTTGAAACAGATGTTGTTGTTTATCAAACTCGAGCGCATCTTTATATAATGTGTGAAAGATTAGTTAATATCAATATCTTTTACCGAGACGCAGTTACTGTCTTAACTTCTAAATTTGGATTTTGACAATGTTATCGTCAGCAGTGTTTGCCGCTGTAAGTTATCATATTTTATTTGCTTTCTAGAGTAATCGTGGTAAAAACCTTCCTTTTAAAATAAATAATATTTAATACAAAATAATTTTAATACAGGAGGAAATAAGTTTAAAGAAACCAGAAATTTTTAAACAGATACATTTATTTGGTGATTCACTGAACAAAAAAAAGTGCATAATTTATAAATTCTCCCATTTAAAATAAATTTCCCTTAAAAAAAGTTCCAATTTCAACCAAATTAAAAATTTAATCAAATTTTTATACATAAAAAAAAACAGAATTAGATAATGATTTTGGGATTTAGGATAAAAAATGTTAAATGTAAGGTTTTTTTTAACATTATTTATATTTTTAAACCCTTTTTACGGACTCGTTTATTTAAAATGGATTAATTATAGCTTAAAAGGCAAAATTTCAAAAAATTAAAAAAAAAAAAAATTATAAAAAATTTTTTAATTACCCTTTTTATGATGAATAATAATTTTTGTTTAAACTTTTTCCCGTTTTTATCTGGTTTAAAGGGGCAATAACACAAATCACATGGGGCTGAAAAAAGGGGAAATGATTTTGGGGTTTTTTGGGTGTAAAAAATTAACAACCCCAGGGGGAAACACATCACCCGCCGGGGGGCTCAAATGCATAGACTATATAAAAGATTTTACTTTGATGCAATTAGTGCGTTTTGATAGATGTTTAAGAAATCAACATTAAGTATTTACTACAAGAGAAATTCATTTTACTTTGAGGGGATTTCGAATGGAATATGTTTGATAAAAAATATTTAATTACTTTCAGTTCTTTACTATTTTAATCAGTGTTGAAACATCTTATGCGATTCTATGCTCATCCGAGCGGCCACCGGTAAGTTTATTTCATCATATAAGCAACAATAAAAGCATTTTATTACATGAATGACATTTCCTTTATCTTTGATTATTTGTTATTATGTATCTACTTTTAAGTATAAAATAAATGTTTGATTTAAATATAAAATAAATTCTTTTTTTCTAGATAAAATAGATTATGATTTAATTATAAAATGAATAGTTGATTAAAATATAATATAAATACGTTATTTTACTATAAAATATATACTTTATTTAAATCTTAAATAGATATGCTTTAATATAAACTTGATCTAAGTATAAAATATAAACTCAACTTAAGTATAAAATAAATACTTGATTTAAGTTTAAAATAAATAAATAGAATTTAATTTCAAATTAATAATTGATAGCTTGTTTTCCTATAATATACAAAGTGTACATAATCCTACTTTTAACACAATATAAATGTTTCGCGTAAAATTCAATATATCATTGTGGAATTTATTCAGTGTCCGGATGGATTTTTCTGCATGAATATATCGTGCGAAAATATTGATATTGGGAGATGCACAGGTGAGACATTCTGAAATTTGTTTGCTTAAAAACTACTTTTTACTTTTTCTAAAACGTCTGATGCAATATCATAGAAAATCGTTAATAGGAATGATTAAAATATCTCATTCCGATATATAAGTTAAATGGGCTTTTGTTTTTAAATCTAATGAATGTAAGGAACTATATTAGTTAAATAATATTGCAGTTATTTAATGCATGTTAAATATGAATAATTCAAAACAAATGTGCATGATTATAACTAACGTACCGAAGTGTTGGGATAGAAGTTATTACAACAGATTAACTTTCATAACATATATTTTCTGGAAAAGAAAGAATAGTGGGTAATAACATTATGTAAGATAATTAGATTAATTATGACATATATTAAGGTGACTTCATTCTTCCTGAATACTAATGACTTGAATTTTAAATGAAGACATTGACGAGTGTAAAGCAATTTCCCTTTTCAGAATGGGGGCAGTTAAATTGGGGGGAATAAAAGTGACAGGTTTAATTTTGTGGGGGGGATATAAATTGGGAAAGGGTTTTGTGTTTTGTATATTTTACACCAAAGGATTTAGTCAACTCACAAATATTTTAAAATTGATAAAAATAAAATGTTCATTTGCATATTTTTGATAAAAATTTTAAAAAGTTTAAAGTATTTTAAAATGTTTAGTATAAATTAAAAACTTTATTAAATATTTTATTTCCCGGAAAAATTTTACTGGGTTTGTTAAAATATTTTGTTTTTTATTTATTTTTCGTTTAAATGTCAAATATTTGGGGCCAAATAATCAAAATTATTTTTGGTATTTTCAAAATTAAAAATATAAAACCCAAATTTTTTTTGACAAAAAGGGAAAAGATATTAGAATGAAAATATGTATATTATTTGTTAACTTGTTTAATTTTGATTAAATATATTAATTTCCAAATGCAATACTTTATAAGATATTCAGTAACTACTTAGTCTACAATTCTGATAATTACATTTTTTCCTTCAATAGTTTTTGCAGTAAACGCGACTGATTGCCTTGACCTGCTCAATGCAGGATTAACTACGAGTGGGATTTACCCAATATATCTCTGGTCAACTAATACAATGTTAGAAGTGTACTGTGACATGGAGACCGATGGTGGGGGATGGACAGTGAGAGTTTTTTTGTTGATTTTTTTTTTTTTTTTTTTTGCAAATCAAATTTTCATAATTGATATCAAATTCATGAGTGAAATTGTGCTAAGATTGTGATGGACCAATGACATTTAACGCTATCATCGCAAAACTGTTAAACTAATATGATGTATTGTGAGTAATTGTTATTTCATGCTATTAGTGTTTTAAATCTTTTTATTACAATTCAGCACTTCCTTTCACAACTTTTTTTTTAGGTTTTCCAAAACCGTTTTGATGGCAGTCTTGATTTCAATAGATCTTTCGCTGACTACGAAGATGGTTTTGGAGTCATTGGTAATGAGTTTTGGCTCGGTAAGTCATTGTACAAAACAGAATGTTAGAGAACTACGTTAAATGCAACATAAATGTATTATGTACTTTGTATATTCAATCATTTCAGTACTTTTTTGTTATCGTTAAGATGTGTCTCTTTCACGTTATCAATCTCTTATTCAATTAAGACTGAAATTATTATTATACAGTCAAATCATTCTGAGTTTATAAGACGCAAGCATTTTACAGGAATTAAGTCAGTGGGTTGCTACTAAATT